ACCGTTTAAATTAATTAATTCATTTCAGAGAGTTTGCAAGTTTTCTTGTTTTGTTCTTTAGTTTACTAAGAACAGGCGGTTGGAGGGAAGGCCAAGGAAGAGGATACTATAATAATCTAAATAAGATACCTTTAGAAGAAAGATGAGGGTTTTAGCACAGAGGAAATACAGTCATTTTGGAGGAAGAAATGGTGGGATGCAGAAGTAGAAAGGAGGACAGAATAAAGCAAAAGGCTTATACTGATTTATATATGATATTTATTATTACACACACACACACACACACACACACACACTCCCTCCAACACTTTTAATATGTAAAGAATTTTAAGAGTCTGTTTCAAAAGTCAGACTGTATGATTTGCACAATGTGAATCTAGATTGTCTTAACCCATCTCAGCATCCTGACTAGAGACTATTAATGTGCTTTCTCTCTGAACTAGCTATAAACCCTAGATATATATGGAGACAGACCAGCCACATCAGCTAAGGATTGGGAGCAAGCAGAAGAAGTTCCCCAAGTGAACAGCCTTCAATGCAAACAAGGCCACTTGAGATGAAGTGGGAGTTGACCTCAACAGCTATTGCATTATAAAGCCATGAGGAAGATACAATGAAATTCTCTAGATGTTTTTTGGTAATGACTTCCTGCCGGATTAAAACCAGATGTGAGAGTAAGACATATTTACTGGCATTTTTAGGATACCTTGTCATTTCTAAACCCCTAATATAAACTTTTGGGGTTGTGGCCTTCCATTTGTACAAGTTCTGCTTGCACAGCAGAACTTCCCCTCCCTCTTCTTTCTTTACTCGCTCTCCAAATCTGTCCCCTCAATCCTCTGAAAGATGATGTGGGGGGCAGGGGGGAGCAGGTGGAGAGCTTCCATTCAATGAGCAGAAGTCCTTGCATGAATGGCTATGTTAGCAACACCACCTGCTTGTTTCACTTGATGAATAAACTGCCATTTCAAGTTTTTTGCATGCAGCCTAATCAAAAGTTATGCAAATATGTAATGGTGACCCAGAGCTCCTCTGTAAGTAGGCAATTGTTTTCCACTTTAATTGCTGGAGTAGCTCAGCATGAATAAGGGGAATGCCTTGCAGAGTGGGCTAAAAATTTGAGCAGGCAGCAACCTTGTAAATCAGAGGCATGCCTAGTTTACAATAAGTTGCTTGATCATGGTGTATCTGTAATGTTGAATCTACACAGTGAATTCTACATCTGTGATTTGTCTATTTCCTTTGTTGTTTCCCCCCCTTTTTTTACTAGCCATTTCCAAAGGAGGGGGGCTGGAGGGCCATTTCACTGGCTCTGCCAGGAAGACCAGCTCCATCAGGCTGGTCCCTCCACTGATTTTTCACCTAACAGCAGCCATTCCATCAGGCTAGAATAGAGATGGAAGCAGGGTTATTTCATTGGCTCTGCTGAGAGAACAGCTGTTTCTAGCAGAGTGCTACCCTTGTCCTTTTACTGTTTATCAATTTTAATTATTCTTAAATTTCCAACCCAGCTTTCTCTAAGGTGGGGTCCATGGTTCCCCCCTCCCCATTTAATCCTCACAACAACCCTGTGGGGTATGTTTCTCCTGTCACATTCTCTCAGCCCCAGGTCAACCAGTGAGCTTTGTGGTCAAGTAGGGTATAAACCTAGGTCTCCCAGGCCCTAGTCCAACACTCTAACCGCTACATCACACTGGCTGATTGTAGTAGCAATGCCTCCAGACACATCTAAAGAAACTAACTGGCTGATATTTGACCCATCTCTTTTCTCAGGGGAAATAATACTTCTTCCACAGCACATTTTGAAGCTAAATAGACAAAGTAGTTCTTGAGTCATGCAACAGTGGAAAAAGTTGTGGTTATCCATATTTTGAGGAGATAAATTGCACTCTAATAACTGTTCTCTGGTCATAACTTCAAACCAATTTCCTGTTATAAAAAATGTCAGACTTCAACATTAATCCACAGTTGAAAAGAGCTTTATAAAATATACCAAAAAAATGAAGTTTATAAAGGTCAACAGCAAAGTCAAATGCGACATCTAATAATAAAACTGCAGCAACTACACCAGGCCAGTGTTGCCACCTGGCATTCTTAAGCAGCTGCCATGGGCCTAGCACCCAGGTAGGACTCAATGCTGATACTTGCCCTGATTCCCTTCTTCATTTTTAACCTTGCTTGATATTCCAAGCAAAGCCAGACGAAAGATTTGTCAGCTTCACCATCCCATTTCCAATACTGGGCCAACCACACGTTTCTGGGAAACTTGCATCCAGGTGATGAAAGAAACAACTTTCCTCCATTGTATTTTCCTTACAATTGTAAAGGAACTCTTGTTGTGGAACAGCAACTGCTACTTACCGTAATTTTCGCTCCATAACACGCAGTTTTTTCCTCCTAGAAAGTAAGGGGAAATGTCTGTGCGTGTTATGGAGCGAATGCCTACGGATGGCAGGGGAATCTGCTGCAGTTGTGAGCAGTCCGTGGTTCGCTTTGAAACAGCAAAGCGGGTGTAAGCGGCTCCTGTCAGCGAGCCGAGCCGGGGAGGAGGGAGAGAAGCAGAGCGGGAGAGGAGAGTGTAAGCGGCTCCTGTCTGGTTGGCTGCTTTAAAACAACCCCGTGT